AGGTCGCGAATACAAACGAGGTCTGTATTACGTAACCGGGAGGACAACAGACTGACTCGTCCTTCATTCAATGACAGTCAGTTACGGGTTTAAAATAACGTAATTACGTGCTTACAGTTGATGCTTACAAAGATATTACTTAATACTGTAAAAGTAAACTTTGTTTTTATTGTTTAATTCATGGAATTTGATTGTATTGTTACTGGGGCGTATGCAGGATTTGGCGGCAGGGGGTACGTGAGAGTCCACACCGCCTCAGCTCCACCATGGTTGGGGCTGAGGTGTGACAATTTTGAAAATATGGACCTAGGTGCCCAGAAATTGCAATTTCATACTTTGAAAATCTTAACGGTACTATGCTCATAATAATAAAAATAATGTATCAACAACACAATACAACAATTATTTTTCTTACCGGTAGCGAGTGCGATAGCACCGTCTGCACACACTCCCCCTCCGTACATTTGCTACCTTTTTATTTTGTTTATAAAACATCAATTTCCAGGTAGTCTTAAGCCTATAACAATACGACATTAATATAACAATTGTAATACTATAATGATTTCCACAAGTGCTAAACAATATCAGAGTGACTCATCCTTAACATAAAAGACATAATTTAAATGTGAATCGATCGGTACATATACATTATGAATAATTCAATATTTTTATTGAAATTTTGAGGGTTGTCCAAGTTTTACGGCGGACATCGTCATCATCAATTCATCATCATCTTCTTATTTAAAAAAATGAATATTTATTTCTATACTAAGTGAAATAACTTAAGTACACCTGAAATTATTTTCGTTATTAACATCAATAATAGTTATTATTAAGTCTATTATTATTTTAATTGTATTATTACACCTGAGGCATTTCTGTACACCGAAACGTTATAAAACATTTTGCAGCCAAGGCGATTTGCTTGGGTTAAAGAGGTACATTATTATAAATATTAGAATTTAAGGTTTATGTAGGTCAAGTATACTTTACGCAATATTAATTCAAACAGCGCCCTCTATCGTGTAGATTTTTCGGGACAACTAATTTACTGGGCCCGTTACAGGATTAATAGTTGCAATTGTATAATGCCAGATGTACAGAAAAATACAGACAGAATATACAAGATTTGCTTCATCCAAGCCTACAATAAACTTTAAACCAAGTGTTAAATTCTGGGCAGAGATCATCAAGTAAATTTTCAGTTAGTTGAGCCATTAGTGAATATTTCCAGTAAAATTTCTTGTAAATTTGTTGCAAATTATTTTCACATACGGTAAGCACATGTATACCCTGCTAAAACTCTATAACTATGAACATTGTAATAAATTTATGATTTTATTTTTTCAGTGATGCAATACCAGCATAATTTTAACATCAAGGATTTGTGTATGTTATACTGTATTATTAATGCCAGGGTTTAACAAAATCTGCTTCACGTAGACAATAATATCTTGTATACTGTAGCTTGACTTGCCTTTAATCTCAAGCTGACCCTTCTAAAGTAATGGGGATTGTGGATGGCCAAGCGGTTAATGCAGGTAACACTCGTACACCACAAGAGTCTCTTCAATGAATAGGCGCTGGTTCAATTAGTGTAACATCCTCATAGTTCGGATGGTAGAATCAAGTCTTCTCGGATAAGGAATACAAAAGATAACCCAATGACAAACAAAATCGTAGTATTTCAAAGATCTCAAATTCATTGCGCATGATTTTCCTTAAAAGAGGTGGCAACCTCTCTCATGGTTATAGGCAACCGATTAAAATATTGAATTTTGAAATGATTCGGCAACCGAGTAAAAGTTGTTAGGTACCATACCACCCTTCACAACATCAGGTAGGTGAGACATTTACTCAATGATGATGCTACTTCCAAACTTGTGAATGTTTTAGTTATCTCGACTGAATTTTTGCAATGTTGTACTTGCTCGGAAATTGCTGAGAAAATTACAACTCCAGTTAAATGTAGCCAGTCAGACTCCTTGCTCTCACTCCTAAGAAGGTGAGCATTCCCAATTCTGCATCGTCTCCATTACTCGTTCATCTTGTTTTTTGTATACAAGTCACTCCATAATTCATTACCCCACTATCTCCAGTTAGTTCTGCTGTTTGCATCCACAGACTTAAATCGTGATCTGCAATCCTTAACTGTCCCATTGGTCACCTTAAAACTTGTGGCGATCGATATTTTATTGTTGCTGCTCCAAAGTTTTGGAACCAACCTGAGACGGTATGACTCTCCACCTTTGACTTTCTTCAAGCCTTTATTTTGATTCTGTACTTAATTCTTTCTCTTTGGTTTTATACGGTATTCATTTCTTCCTTTTTCTGTGCACTTGGGCTGTGGTGTTTAGAGCATAGAGAGGATTTGTACCGGTATTATGCGCCTTGCAAATATCGCCATTACCATTCATTCACATTGTGTTATTATTTTGCGGTGTATTGCCATTGTTTGGAGATTAACTTCATACAGAGGACGCACGAATTCACATTAATTGCATAGTTCACTTCTTTTACAAAATCAAAAAAGTTGGCAATGTCTATTGATTGGCTAACTATAGGCAGGCTATTTACAGCTATTTTTACAAGCAGACGATTGAAAGTTTATATATAGAATATGAATGGCGGCACCAGGTTTGGTGACTTGTATCATAAATCATAGAAATAGCATACAACACAGATTAACAACGTGGTACATGGTATGAATATAAACATTACCCGGTATAAAGCCTGTAGAACGAAGGCCTATAAAATGTCGTGAAAGGTGAGCGGTCTGTGGTACGTTGGAAAGATATTTTGCAATTAAGATATAAATGAATTAAATTAATTGATTCATCCCGAATGACGTCATTGCTCAAAAAACTAATCAACTCATTTACTGATCTGATCTAATGTTTATTTTGACACGATTACGATAACGTCTTTGTGGATCGAGAAATTGTTTTGCATCAAGGCAACATGTAGGCCTAGTCTTAAATTTACTGCAAAATATATAAACTCTACACTGTTGTGTTGCATCGCGTGTTTGCGAAGGTGCAAAAGTAAACGGTGAAAAAACATATTTTTGAAGATAAACTTGCGATGAAGTCAGAAGAGGAATGATTAAGCCTTTTGGTCTGCATTCTCTTCGACTGTTTTTTTTTTTACACCGTTGTTCCCGACTTGACCGACCATTCAGCGCTGCCGAAATCTGTCGGCAATAGCTTGTAGCGATTTTATGAAAACCAGGTTTAAATTGCAATCTCCTCTCAAATTTCCAAATGTATATCCAAAACAAATTAATCTTTGCATATTTATCATTCTTCATTTTTAAGAACAAACTGGAAGCTATATTAAATTTTATTGTAGGCCTACACTTTTTTTTTTATAAGAACACATTTTATAAGAACACTGAGGCTGAAATTGCCTAAGAATTAAGAACAAAATAAGAACAAATTGAGGCTGAGGTAAAATATCAAATGAGATTTTTATTTTTAAAAACTAGAAAAACCAAAAAAATATATATCTATTTTATGTTTAGTAGGTATGACTATGTAATACCCTCTATAATGCAGTAAAGTAGGTTTACCTAGTTGTCATCAGTGGCCATATTTTCAGGGGTCTTGTTTTTCAGGGGCCATTTTTTACCGGGGCCACTTTTACCTACATTCCAGTACAATGTATAGGCCTACTGCTGTACAATAATAATTTTCTATGTTTGAAAAGTGTGTAACATAAGAACAAAATAAGAACATTTTGAGCCTGAAATCTCCTAAAATGTAAAAACACAGCCTTGGCAACATTTTACATGTATTTTAAATGAGTGAAGCGAATATTTATTAAAATCAGGCAGACCCAGTTATAGACCTATCGTTGATATTCATATCAAAATTTCACTTTGTCCCTGCTAAAGCTCAGTTTTTTTTGTTTTTTTTTTAATTAATGCTAGCGATAAAATCTGCAATTCTAAATAACACTAATGGTGAAGATGAATAACTTGAACAAGTGATATATAGAAAGCATCCCGTCACTAAACTCACCTCCTTTTAACATATTAGGCCAAATAAAAACATAATATAGTTTCTCGTATGAGAAATAGTGAAAAGGAGGCATTTTTATGGCCGTCGATTTGCTGATAACAGTTTATTATGAAATTTGATATACAAAGAAAGATGTGCTTTATGAAATGCACAAATTTGTAGTATCTTTACGAAATGGCAGTAAGATATGGTGTGTTGCCTTTTAATGAATCGAGGTAGCAGTAAAAAAGGACAACAAATTATTTTTTTTAATTTACCTTAACAACGAAAACTTATAGAATAATAAAAGGTTATCTCCGTGTACAATACATTTTTACGATTGAATAAATGAGTAGCATTTGAAAAGCAGTGAATTACTCATACTTTATCATTTGCTGGTTACTTAACCTCAAAATGTGAACTATTTTTTTGCATGATAGGCCTATATAGTTAAGTTTTTCTTTCTCGCAAGCATGAACAAAATTTCGATTATTTATCATTGAGATTGAACGAAGACTTCATGAGTCGGATGTCAAAGATTACTATGAATTATGATATAGAGGCCTCTCTAGAATGAAGCATTGAAATTCCACAAATTATGAATGAGAGAAAAAAAAACATACCGAAGATGGTGTTTAAGAAATAATAAAAAGAATAGCAATAAATATGTTTATAAAAGAATTGCAGAATAATAGTTCATAAAGCGAATTTTCATTTTCTATATACTTATGGATATAATATAACTACAATCATATAATATATCAGATTAATCATTATTAGTTCTGCAAAGTGTCGGTAGTCAATGAACGAACTCTCAGCACTAGGCCGATACGTTAAATGCATTACGCAATACAGACCAAAGCTGCTTCAACTGTTTTCGAAACTTACTGCAGTTAAAGGAGGTTTCGATTATCCATTCTACATAATTTCTAAAAATAAATTAGAATATTTATTAAGGTTGCGCTTAATTCATCGGACTAAAAAGGAGGTTGAACTCACCGCCCATTCGGATATGCCGAGCTTGCGTCTTCCGGTTCTACCTTTATAATTCGCCATCACGTTAAGCGCTTGATATGTTATTCACAGCGTTTAGTATATTTTTAACTCACAGAAAAACATTAAAAACACTCAATAGATGCCCAGTCTTTACAAAATGAAGGTTGCTTTGCGATTACGCTCCAATGAAGAGCTGAAGCCAAAGCAGTAATGCTTGCGGTTAGGACTATTTTCTTCTCGTCCTTAACCCGCCGAGGAAAGTGTGCCAGACCAGGTCATCTCACTCCCCGTTACACTCAAATCCGACAGCTGATTGGCTGATGTAAACACACATCCTGAGCTACCTCTTTACTATTAGCGTTACATTGCATAACCGTGGCTACGAATTATGACATAAAAAATTCCTCACTGGCTGATAATGTAGATGATTCGACGGTTGTGATTGGCTAGTGCCGTCTCATACGCTCTGACGAGTTTATTAATAGCGAATTATTGCAAGATAACTTTAGGGCATTGAACTTGGGCTATCGCTCAAGTTGCGTTTAACGTCGTTGTACTACAGAAAGGTTCAACATCGAAGCTATAATTATGGGATAGAAGTAGGTTGGATTAGGGGATCTTGTTAAAAAAGCTAAATGGAACAAGTATTCAATAGATAAGGACACAGTTATACACGATTATGAAACGCGTATAAACTTAATGGATTGATTGGACATGCGCAGTTTGTTTCGGTATACGTGTTGCATAACAATGGAAAATGCTAAAAATAAATCTCGCAGATGAATTATGACCCACAATCTGGAATCACATATTATGTCGGTTAGACAGTGGAGTTATAATTTAGCACTTCATGGTTTGACTGTAAAGGCCTATCTAGCTATTTTAAGAACATACTAATTCGCGATACACAATCAAATATAGACATGCATTAATTCTATGTGAGATCGTAATTATAATTCAGCAAAATTTCATTTAATCCTTGTACAAATTGAGGTAAGCTGCGAATATCGTTTACGCATAACCGGCTAGTAGAGTAGGTCTTCTTCAATACATTGTATATGGCCATTATATATTTATATATATATATATATATAT